GCGTTCCAACTCAGAAAAATGCGAATGCGCATGCTGAGGTAACTAGTATACTGAGATGTCCAGGTGGATCAAAATAGCTGCTCACAATTACGATAACTATATTTTCTGTACATTTTCGATGCATTACATTTTTTCACTATGAATGTGGTAATACATGTTTTATTACAAACCGCCTATGTCATGTCAGAAAGTCGTAGCATCAGTCTCGCTATCTACGAGATGAGACTTGAATGGGATCTTGGCATGATGTCACCATACAGTACTATGCGCGTTGCAAACCCCAAGTAATGTACCTCTGGTAATATACACGATACATCAGTAGATTTAAACACCTGACATTACATGGTTGATATGAGTGACACTGATGACACAACCAGTGTCACCCAGAAAACATTTCATCACATGACACGTCTCGCTAAACACATCACATCCAGTTATTTTTACACGTCTTGATACACCCATCATGCCACGTCCTGTCAATACAAAAGTCAGTTTGCTATTTTTATCTTTTCTCAAAGAAAAGATGGACTATGATTGTAATTTGTTTATATTAAAATATACAATATATATAATTGGATTTGTTTTTCTCTGTAAATTCTAACATTGTTATTCTACAAAATTTTACTGATGGGTTGCACACCACCCTTCCTCTTTTCATTATAATGTAGCTCAGAATCAAGTACTGTAAACAAAATCATTAGCTTTTAAAATTTCAAGAGATCACAGACTTGTCCTATTTTTGGAGGTTCTCCAACACTTTTATGTTTTTCTTTCAACACTTAGGCCTTAATGAATGATAACAAACATTGTTGATGAATATATATGGTGTTATGGAGGATGGAAGTATTAAAATATGACAAAATGATCATCAAGACCACAGATACATGTATACACACAAAAATGGTTATTGCTCATTATTCAGTCAATGTTTGATACAAAAAATGTTATTTCCTTGGTTTGTTATGCAATATAAAGTAAACATCAACTTTGTTTTAATGTGAGCAAATGTTTTAGAACGCATCATCAATTCGTACAAAGCCGAGATCAACCATATTTTCTCGAACACGATTTGACCTGCCACAGTGACCTTTGAACTGATTAGTCAAAAATGTCACCAACAATCAGAACACCATGTGGTATTGTTGACAGAATGCATTGTCTGGATTATAATTACGATAGCTGCTATTTCTTGGATTTCTCAACACCATTGGAACAGTGAACTGGATGGAAGTATGTCCGGATACATCGACAATTTGGCGACATCGGTGATTTAGGTGATGACATCTATAATGAAAACAGCAGAATTAAAAACAATTTATTGTTTATGACATAAACTTCATCAAAACTCCAAAACAACTGAAGTGAATGTCCAAACAATAGTGTCTTGCCTTTGAGCCAAATTTAAATAAAATCGGTGAAAGTCTATGAGAAATAGATAGGACATGAAACAAAGACACATGCATAGGTATACCAAGTTTAGTTATTGTCCAGGCATATCAGATGGACACACAGAACCCAAGAATTAAGTTCCCATTTTGGACTACATCCAACATCTTAATAAGCAAATTTGTACAGCAGAATCATGTGTGTGAAACACCAAAGATGGGGGAAATGCTTGATTTTGATGCATTTTTAGCACTGCAATTCAACCACGATGAAAAATAAATAAATGCATGCATGTGTGTATATATGAACATTGATGTATAATATAGGTGGATACATAAAGGTGAAACTAAATCGATAAAGTATAATTACCTTTGATACTTTAGGTGATGATTGGTTACATCTTAAGGAAGATGAATCTTTTGATAAACTATTCCTAAAACCACCAGATTCAACCAATAGCCTCTTCCCAGGACTGTTTTTATCCAGTATTATATCACTATTACCTTGCAGTCTCTTCTGCTTACAAATTTCAGTCAGCCAATTAAGTCTTGGCTTGGATAATGTATTGTTTTCTTTGTCACAATCAGAACCCAGCTGTGAGATTGGAACGCCTAGTTTTGTGGGAGAATCAAGGACGATATTTGGCAAGTTCATTGTTGGTGAACCACAGACAATTGCACTGAATTTTCCTGAGTGGATATGTCTAGCAGCATCTTTGATTGGAGTTTCTTTATCACACAGACTTTCATGATCCTTATCATGTTCAGTAACTTGGCATGATTTATTGTTCAAATTATCAACACTTGCAAGATGCTGCTCCAGAATTCCCATTCCATTACTAACAACAATTTCATCATCCACAAACGATTTCAATTCTTTCTTAGAAAACTCTGCATCATTTTCAATTTTTCGCTTCACACCTCTTGGTGTTCCATTCATGAGGCAATTACTGATGTTTTCATTTTCTTTAAAGGGAGAATCTCGAGACTTTTTCTTCTGAGAAAATTCATTTGGTTCCTTTTTGTTGACTCTTGGACTACAAAACCATTGTTTAATTGAAGAATTTTTTAGTTTCGGAGAAATGTACTTTCTAAAGTTTTCATTCTGTGGTGGTGTGGCAGGTTGCATTGCATGCTGGGAGATTTTAGGTACATTGCTTACTGGGCTGCATGGAGCACTATTAGCAGACAGTGGAGATTGGAGATGATCATGTGAAGAAAAATAACTTCCAGCAGAAGAACGTGGTGTGGATGGTTGTGATGC